TTCTATTTGGATTACTTCCTTTAATTTTCATATAGAATTTTTTACTCACATCAACCAACATGGTGTCTATTTCGCAAATATCAATCTGCTGGACAGAAGAGTGTCGAGAAAACTCCCTTAAGATGCCGCCATCTCCTCCCCCAATGAGTAAAACCTTAATTTTTGACACAAGAAAAAAAGGATTAAGTAGGTGACAAAATTAACTGCATTTACTTGATGAGCTTTCTAATTTTCTGCAAACTAGGGATTTATTATTATTAGAGCTGGCAAGATGGACTCCACCCGTTAACATGACCTATTTAGGTCACATAATTTCATTTCACGGGTGGAGACATAATGAGGTAGCAATAATGAGTGAACCTGTTAGCAACCCATTAATCACCCATTAAGGAGTTGGCGTTGACAGCGGCCCACTGCTGCCCTTGATGTTCGATTTCAGCCTTGCAATACTGACCGCTGACGGGAACCCAGATGTTGACTCGAATGAGGACGCGAAGCCCTTCATAGTGGAGGGTTTGGAGTCGGGCTGGAAAGCGAGAAGTGTTGCCAGTTGGAGAGGAGGAGCACGGCGGGGATTGCCATTGACGTCGTAGATGACAATGGAGATGACGTCGCATTGCCGTCGTTTTGGAGGAGGCTAAGAGGGAGAGGAGGTTGGAGGTGGTGGAATAGAGCAAGTGGGTTATGGGGGGTCTAGGTTGTTGCTGCTTTGATTGGTGGTGGTTCTATTGGTGATGCTATGAACGTGAGATGAGCTTTTGTTAACGGGTGAAACAATTGACCCGTTAACTGAACTAATCATTTCGAGTTTAACTATTTTCACTCATAAGCTTAATAGATAAAGTTTGGGTGATCCAATAAAAAATTATGGTTCGTTTGGTATTATTTTTAAAATGGCGAAATCGTTTTTTGTGAAAATATTTTTGAAACAAATCTTTGGTTAAAATGCAAGTGAATTATAGAAAAACACTTGAAATGCTGCTTGCAAGAAGCACCTAAAAAGAATTTGAAGGGCTACCTACAAGAACTAGTTAGATGCTTCTTGTAGGAAGCATTTTAAATATTTTTAGAACTCAAAAACATTTTATTTAAAAGCGTTTTCGGTTATTTTAAATGTACTTCCCAACCAGCCTTATTTTGTGATGAACCCAAACCAAACCAACTAAACTAAACCATTTACCAGCTCTAATTATTATTATTAAGTACACTTCAATTATACGTAAGTTAATTTATAAAAAAGTTGATGGAATTATGTATGAAACGTGTAAGATTGACACTTGTCTTCTTTCATTCACATGAAATGTTGTGGCGTATTCTCAAATTCTTAACTGACTACCTTGTTTGGGTTCGGAATGGAGCAAAGAGGAAGATGTGTAATCATTTCTTGGTAAGCAAACTCATCCTTCTCAGTGAGTTGGAGTGCTCCATCCAGAATAAAAACCTTGCCATATGCTGATGACTGCAAATTAGAAATTAATCAACCATATATAATTTAGCCAAAGGTTAATTAGTCAACGTACCCTACAATAATTTTAATGCAATCACGTCCACACACACATGTATAGTAATATTTTGATAGTGTAATAAGGCGTCCACAACACAAACACCTATATTGTTATTGTAATAACAATATTGTGATTATATGTTAACTATAACTTTATCATTATTATATAACATTAGATTGTATACTTTGACAATTAATGTAACCTTATATTCCTTGTAATTTAGACATTAAACATTGATGTCATGTTACGTTAAAGTAGCTAAAGAATCCAAAAATAAATAATGATGATAGTTAATTTCATAATATTGACTAGTATTTTTATTATAACAATGATCTCCAATTCCTTTTTCTAAAGGTTACCATAAACTTTCTCTTAGTCAAAAAGTTCTCTTTATGACATATTTAGTTAAAAGTTGCATTCTGCACAATAAGCAAATGTTATTTAAATTGTATTTACGAAATGAAATGTTATATTGTTACATTATTAATATTACCGAGTTTATTTGTTAAATTGTGTGACAAAGAGAGTGATTTTCTTTCACACTTTATAACGAGGACTTTTAATTAATTTACCTGAAATACCATCATACTTTGATACTCGGACCTCCCTTGAAATAAGATTTTTTCTACCTTCAAAAAGTGGGCTTGCCCTACAAGATCAGGAAAGTAAACTTATTCACGGATAAGAAAAAATAGCTGGCATTTGTTTTTAGACTAGAGTTGTGAACTCTGAAAACTTTTTGTCTGTTTTACATTCAAGAAAACTAGAAAAGCACCACCCAAAAAGAAGCCTCTGATCCCTGTACCATCTCCTCCCTATCTCACTGCACCGCTTGGAAAGCTAATCTAATTAACTCCATAAAACATCATTGAACCTACAATGTATTTATGTCTGAACCTCGATCACTTCGACGTCTTAGAAGTAGGGTCAAGTTGTAATTGCTCAAAATTAAGAATTTGAGTTTATTGGATCATGCGAGTTGGTAGATCACGTGTTGAAAATTTAGTAAAGAAACGGAAGGAGACAACCATTTGGGGACAACAAACCCGTGACCCTATTTACAAAGACTATATACACAACTCCCTTGTCTGAAGCAAGAATTACTTGAATTGAAAACAATATGAAGCTATACTTTCATCATGGTAAACAATAATGAAATAAGCTTATTCATACCTCTCACAACATGCAGAAACGAAATTGTTACTGACTACCTAGAACTCAATCTGAATTCCTTGAAAAAACTAATTAACTCAATGAAAATTTTGAATCAAATTAAACAGTCATAAAATGTATTCTAAAAGTATTAAAAAATAAAAAAAAATAAATAAATAAAAAAAAACATGTCAATTGAAACCCACCTGGCCATATCGGACAATACTCAGAAAACCATCCAGGAACCTTTGGATGGTCATCAGTAAGATCATCATCTGCAAGTTCTTTAGTATTGTATTCTGTTCCAGCTGAGATTGGTGGAAGGGAGACTTCACTATCGCCATTTCTGACCACCAGAACTCCATCTTCTTTTGCCATTTTAACATACAAATTATATTCAGATATGCTGTCTGCTCTATGCAACAAACCCTAAAAAAAATTCGTCAACTAATTTTGTCTAATGGATTCTCTGAGTTGTCGTTAATTATTTGTCAAAACTGAGGAGGCTCAGCTTGACCAATAACCAAGCTATATGGTGTTTCTGCGGGGTGGCCGAACCATTTGCTCATTTGTGCATACTTATAGGTCCTAAAGACGGTGAAGAATCTAATAAATTATTTACAAGCAAAACTCTTTTGCAAGGGAAATTATGTTTTATTAGTATAATATTAGTTAGATGAAAGGAAAATTTTTGTATGATAATCACACTACTATGTAGTGTTATTAATTCACAATAGTAAAAATAACGTGATTCATGCCTTACTAATGAAAAATCATGGTAGAACATGGTAGGTGTACATCTTTCCATACTATTATTAAAAAAAATCATATTAGAACATGGTAGAATATGGTAGGTGTTTTTCTATACTCATAGGCAATTATAGTGTGTAAAATGTCACTTATTATACTGTTTTCATCCTTAATAAGTTTGATAATGAACAAAAAGAAAATGAAAGAAAATTAGTTGGAATGATCAGTTTTTGACATTTGGTTGCAGAAATAAGCAGCTTTTATCATGTCATTATTATATTATTATTGTGTGGTTGTTATGTCATCATTGTATCATATATATGAGTAATATGTTGTTGTTACTAAAGATTGATCATTTATGCAACCGAATGTAAAAAACTGATCATTCCAACTAATTGCCCAATAAATAATGTGAATAAAATAATTAGCTATTGTTTCAGAAAAAAAAGAAAAAAAGAAAAAAAGAAAAAAGAATCAGCTATAGTTTTACCCCTTAAGTTTCTCTCTCTCACTTTCTATTTTCCTCTTGTATTTAAATTCCTTCGCATCAGCCACTTAGTATTATGATTTAGTGATATTTCCTCTTCATTTGTAAGTGAGAGGTCTTAGGTTCAACTCTTGTCAAAGACGAATTTGAACCATATCAGTGCTAGCTCATTGTGAGCCTTAGCCACTCCCTCATCCCTTTAGTGTTGATAATACCGTTTGTTAAAAAAAATAAAATAATGGGTGGCCTCTAATCTTAGTATATACGGTGAGAACATCGGATCAAAAAGCAATATGAAAATTGGAAAACTACCGTTTTACACTTTGAGAAAGTTGTGTGCAGAAACAAAAGTACGTACTAAAAAGAAGTGGGAAAATGTAAATTTTTGGATCAAAAGGGGAAAAGGAATTACATCGTGTAGTTTCATATGAAAAAACATGTCTTCTTTTATTTAGCATTCTATAATGACTTCTTCTATTTCATAAATTCAAAAATGATATTTGTCACAAAATGTTATTGAAAAAATTTGAGATTTTTTTTTTTTTTTTTTTTTTTTTTTTGTGACTATCATGTTCCTATGAACTGTAGAGGCTTGTCGAGGACAACAATTGCAGGAAATTGTTGAGTAATGTTGAAGATGGCCAATGTTTGTCAACTGAGGCATTACATCAACACTTAGTTCGCACAATACTATAGAAGAAAAGGGAAGATATGGACGATAGAAGACAAGAGAAAAGGAAGATATGGACGATAAAAGAAAAAAGAGAAATTTGTATTTTGATTTGTCATAGTTGTTTATACGGGTTAAATACAAATATATGAACAAATATACATAAAGATTTTGAAGCTGTTAGAATCATGGGCAATCATTAAACCCATGCTGATTGTGCCAGAAAGAGATAATAAAAGTTTTTAAGTCTTCATTCAACTCAAGTGGTTTTTTTTTTTTTTTTTTTTTTTTTTTAATTAAAAAAAAAACAAAATGAAAAGTAATGAACATTTGGCGCGTTTTTCCCGTTCATGCAACGGTCATGAAAGCCCGAAACCTCAGCCCTTCCTCTCTTCTTCTTCTTCTTCTGGTTCTTCTTCTTCTTTCTTCCCCCACAAATCTCTGAAACTAATATGTCTCTGCCTCGTGGCTAAATCTCAAAACGCCCAGAGATGATGCACAGCTTCCAGCCATATGCCGCAGCCTCGGCTCGCTTCCGCAACTTTTCGACCCCATTTTCCCTCAGCAAGAAGATCCCGTGGTGGTACCAGATCCTCGACCCAGGATCCGAACGCGTGACCCAATGGAACCACATCTTCTTTGTCATATGCATCGTCGGCCTCTTCCTCGACCCCCTCTATTTCTTCTTGCCCACCACGGCCAGCGACCAAGTTGCTTGCATGCAGATCGACATGGGCCTTGGCATCTTGGTCACCTTTCTCCGTACGGTTGCCGACTTCTTCTACATTATCCATATCCTAATCAAGTTTCGAATTGCTTATATCGATCCAGGTTCTAGGGTTTTTGGGCGGGGCCAGCTCGTTAAGGACCCCAGGGCTATCGCCATCCGCTACCTCAAGGGCGACTTCTCTATCGATCTTGCCGCCTCCCTACCACTCCCACAGGTATTTACTCAACAATGATTTCTACACACTCTTTTTCTCACGTTTTTTGTAGTTGTTGATTAAATAAATCAAAGGAAAATCAAACGACATAAACAAAAGGTGGAGTGCAAAATAAGAAAACATGTGTGAGGGAATCATTTCCCCTACAAATTTGGAGTACATTTCCCCTACAAATTTGGATTAATTTTTACTTTTGTGTTTTTAACAAAGCAGTGTCCAACGAATACCATCACTTATAGAATATATATGATTTATTTTTGTTTTGTTGTGTTTTTGCAGATTGTGATTTGGTTTGTCATTCCAGCAGTGAAAAACCGAACAGCTGCTCATGCTAATCATACCCTTTCTTTAATTGTGCTCATTCAATATATTCCTCGATTTATTCAACTTTTCCCTCTCAACCGACGAATTACTAAATCGACCGGCGTTGTAGCCAAGACTGCTTGGTCAGGGGCAGCTTACAATCTCATTCTGTTTTGTCTAATTGCACATGTAAGAACCTAGCTAGCTAGTTATATCTATGTGTGTGTTTGTATCCCATTTTGTTTCCGTTCAATTATTAATACGTACTTACAATTTGACAGTGACATCTTACGTTGTTAGGCTGTTGATTTTGATATCATTGTTTCGATAAGCTCTTCTTCGAATATGTGGTGCCAAATTGGTGGTCTGACAACATAAAATGCGAGATAATAATAATTGATCCAGGGATTTACTATACCGTGCCTTATTTATTTGGCTTGATTGTTAGGATGGTTGTTGTTCTTCAGTGCAGATTGTTGGAGCTTCATGGTATGTGCTGTCCATTAGACGGCAGTACGAATGCTGGACGGGAGAATGTAAAAAGGAGGTGAATAAAACACATTCTCCATCCTGTAAAATTTCGTTTCTTGATTGTGGCAGTGCCGATAACCCCGAACGAAAACTTTGGCTGCAAATCACAAAAGTTCAGACTAGTTGTGATGCAGCTGGTAAGGACGAATTTGAGTTTGGAATGTTTGCGGAGGCTTTCACTAATGAGGTTGCTTCTGCATACATCATTGAAAAATATTTCTACTGCCTTTGGTGGGGTATGAGAAATTTATGGTATGCTTTGCTGTTACTAGCTCAAGCCAAAATGCATTTTTCTTCTGTTACATTTGGATCATATAATAATAGTTACTTGTCCGTCAAGGAATGAAAACAGTTAAAAATTAAGCAAGCTATTTGTGCTAATTCATATCTCGTACTCATTTCGCGATACGCAGTTCATACGGACAAGATATTAAGACAAGCACTTTTATCAGTGAAACCTCATTTTGCATTCTCATTGCCGTTCTTGGTCTAGTTCTCTTCTCACATCTCATGAGCCAGATGCAGGTATAATTTGCTCAAGGCATCTACTACATACAAGAAAATGTCTTAATTTATTGATCTAGGTCTAATTTTTCCTTCACATGGTTGAATTTTTGATACATTGTTACTTATTTTTATAAATTTTCTGATTTCTTCAAGACCTACCTGCAATCTGCAACGATTAGACTTGAAGAATGGCGGGTAAAAAGGAGAGACACAGAGGAGTGGATGAGGCACCGTCAGCTCCCTGCGGAACTGCAAGAGCGTGTTCGTCGGTTTGTTCAATATAAGTGGATTGCCACAAGAGGTGTAGATGAGAAAAACATTTTGCAATCCTTGCCTGCGGATCTCCGCCGCCAGATCCAAAGGCATTTATGCCTTGCCCTTGTTCGCCGTGTAAGCATTATGTTTGGGAGACTGTCAATGTAAACCATTGGTCACATGCTGACACTTGCTGATAAGCGCAATGCAGCTGAGTTTATAAGTTGTTGGCACCGATCGTTTACTGGTGGTATAATTTCTTCAATTCTCAGGTACCCTTTTTCGCACAAATGGACGATCAGCTTCTAGACGCCATATGTGAACGTCTCGAGTCATCCTTGAATACCAGGAACACTTACATCATCAGGGAAGGTGATCCTGTGAATGAGATGCTTTTCATCATCAGAGGGCAACTTGAGAGCTCCACAACTGATGGTGGAAGGACAGGGTTCTACAACTCAACTACCCTCAGGGCGGGCGATTTCTGCGGCGAAGAGTTGCTCACATGGGCCTTGATGCCTACATCAAGCCTCAACCTTCCATGCTCGACGCGTACGGTGAGGTCCCTAACCGAAGTTGAGGCATTTGCTCTGAGAGCTGAAGACCTCAAGTTCGTTGCCACTCAATTCAAGCGCCTTCACAGCAAAAGACTGCAGCATGCTTTTCGGTACTATTCACACCAGTGGAGAACTTGGGGGGCTTGCTTTATACAAGTTGCTTGGAGGAGGTTTAGGAAGAGAAAGTTGGCAATGGAGTTGGCAATAGAGGAGGAGTACTATTACGCACATGTTTTGGAGCAAGAAGAGCTTGGCAATGGCAATGAATCTAGAGTAGGAACTAGTAGAGATTATGATGGTATAGGAGGTGCCGAGAGGTCATCGTCCGAGGCGAATAGGCAGCAGAATATTCCCCTTGGGCCGGCGATATTGGCTTCCAAATTTGCTGCAACCACCAGAAGAGGGATTCAGAAGGTGGCATCAGTTATTCAACATGATGAAACCAGCTCTAGTATGCCCAAAAAACTGTTCAAGCCAGATGAACCTGATTTTTCAGCAGATTAGTTGAGTATATAATAATCAGAATCCTTTGATTTTTGCCACAATACATACCAAATAGAGTGACCAGTTAAACATATATATATATATATATATATATATATAGTTTGTATTACTATATATTGTCATCATTTACCAGTTTCTAAAATGTAAGGAAATATGCAATGGATTAAACAAGATAGATAGACGAGTAGTGATTGACCAGTGGGTCAGTCCACTACAACCAGAGTTTGATAGTGTTCTTCAGCGAAGGCAGCCATCCTCAGGGGCAAAACAAAATGTAAAGAAAACAATTAAGCACAAAAACAAAATATATAGAAATACAACAGTGATTTCTCAAAAGGAGAGTTCCATTGATATTGACCGGAGAGCAAAGAAAATCCAAGTAAACTCAAAGGTGGTTCCAAAGAGATGGACCACTAAGATTGCTCCAAAGAGATGGACCGCCAAAAACATAGATTTTTCAATGTTATCGACACACAAGATAATATATTACGTGTTATTATATAAATAGTAAAATATATATGTTAAAAATTTAATAACTTAAAAAGTAAAATTTCTTACCATTTATATAAAAATACATAATACACTATCCATATTCCTATCTTAATTAAAAACTTCTTCACCAAAAGAGGTGGACCAGAAAGAACCATGTTGCAAACCCAACTGTGTGGGTCTCATGAATATTTGACAAAATTTGGAGTGGCCCGAACACGTTGTCAATTACGGGGTTGACACACCGCCATCGAGATGAAAAAAGCACCGCGGCAAACAAATATAATCACAAAACCGACAAAGCAGGGGCGTAAAGTGTAAACGCTGCCATCGAGATTGTGACGCGATTTTTTAGGAATATGATATCAATACATCATATTCCACTTTATACATATTTTTTAAATTTTTGACCGTTAGATGAAATGAATTGAAGGAGATTAACGAACAAAAATTATGAAAAGGTATGTGAAAAGTAAAATAAGATATGCTATCTACATCTTTTTTTAACCCGGTTAAAAATAAAAAAATAAAAAAAAAGTGACACTCTGTATAGCTCGGATCTCAACCAAGAATAAGACTCTATCTCTCTCTCTCTCTCTCTCTCAGATTCATACACATACGAAAAGAAAAGGTCTTTGGAGGAGGAAGAGGGGGCCTGCTGACTCCTCCCTCACTTGGTTCTGAGTCCCCATCTCTTATTGAAATGGACTTGGATCCTCTTCTGAGATAATACAAAGGATCATTCTTATCAATCATCCTGAATCGTTAGATTTTTATCCAATAGCTATAAATAAGAAGATCCTTTAAAGTTATAATAATTGTAGTCGTTGGATAAAAATCAAACGGCCCACTATGATTGATGAGGAGGATTCTCTCCCTTAGCTCAGGAGAGGATCCAAATCCTATTGAAATAAAGATGGACACTGTCTTTGAAATTAGGGAAAGATTTGACATGGAACAAGTGTTTGTTGGATCAGGATCCTCTTCTGATCTAAGGATAAGAATCCTCCTGATCAAGAAGTGTGGGCCGTTAGATGAAAATCTAACGGCTACAAACAGGGGGTCCGTTTAAAATTATTATAATTATAACCATTGAATTTTCATCCAACGACCCACATTCCTTGATCAGGAGGATCCTCATCCTTAGATTAGCAGAGGATCCTGATCCTAAAATTAGGGTTCAATAAAAAATGGAAAAGATAAAAAAAGTATCACACACTAACATGTACACATAAGAGGAAAGAGATTCTATTTATAAAATATGGGGATTAGATGTGGATTCATATTATATTGAATTTTAACGATCTGAATTGTTCATTTTTAAATTGCACCTCTTAGATCATTCTTACAAATTTTCTTTTATTTTAACAAACAATATTATGTACACTAAGACATTTTTACAAAATATTAGCCAAATTATAAATATTTGAGACATGTAATTGAGTTGAAAGGAATTGACGAACACTTATGTTTTATAAGAAACAATAAAATTTCATTGTGATAATTAAATAGGCAAATGGTTTCGGATTGAATTAAATTTTTTTTAAGGATAATCTATGGATTGAGACTTACAAAATAGTCGATTCAAATATTTGAAGTTTGATGTATAATAAGTTCCACAACTAATCCCACATTTTAAAAGAAAAATGAAAATCTATTTCCTTAAAGTGCCATTACATAGATACACACGCACAGTTGGAGTATCTTCTGACAATGAATTTGAAATTACATCTCATAAAAGATCATGAATAACACACTGAGGCCTCATTTGGCAGTTCAGACTGTACTGACTATTTATGTCGGATAGAATATATAGCCACCTGATAGTACTGACTAAATTAGTCGGGTGTTTGGTGCAGTATCGGACTAGTGACCGTATTATTTATATTGTGTTTGGTATTATACTAGATAGGAGGAATCAAACTTAAAAAAAAAAAAAAAAAAAATTTAAAAAAGTGAAATCATTTTTTTGTTCCCAGATCTCTCCGCACCCCCCAAACACCCTCCCTCTCTCTCCCTTCTTCTTCCCTGACTGCAGAAGAATCCCAAATAATTGTTCCCCAGCTCTCTCCGCCACACCCCCCAAACTCCCTTCCTTTCTCTCCCATATTCTTCTTCCCCGACTAAATAATCTGGGCATTTTGGTTGGTTTTATTAAGCGGGTGTATACCGTGTTATCCTATCCGACCGGTTAAATTAATCCGGCGCTTACTTAGTACGAGTGAACGTCAAACACCCGAGTCCGTATAACTAATCATATTCGATCCTTTATCCGATCTGCCAAACAGGGCCTGAATGATTAACCTCGAAATCTGAACGTAGTTGTCTATGAGCAAAACTACATTAGATGCGGAAACATGTCTCAGACAAAATTATAAATATGGTTGATTAACTAGGAATCGAGATCCTCTCAAGATTTCCAAGTTCAGAGCCCGCAGACCAAAAAATTTGGGCAGTTCAAAGGGATGAGAGAGAGATTCGAGCTCTTAGTTTGTATGAGGTGAGTAAGTGAGATGGGCAAATAGGAGCTATAGATTTTAAATGAATGGTCTGGATCTTTCAGTCTGCCGACTCCCACGCAGAGATTTGGAAATGATCTCAATTCATTAACTAGGTAAGATTTGTACTAAACAGTTAGCGCTCACTAACGTGTGGTCGGAATAAGAAAAAATCAAACTACTTATTATGTAAACGTAACAATACAACACATAATTAAAATATAAGTTTCATTGATAGTTCACTGCAATTACAGCCTGAAAATACTTATAGAGATATGTATAGATCCATCACTTATTCATTAGTCATTCTACTAAGATCTCGAATCCCCGCAGCCCTACTACTTGGTGGTGATGACCTTCTCATCCTCCGCCGCAGTCCAACTACTTCTCGGTGGTGTTGTAACTTACAAAGACATTGCTTTTGGCCTAGTGATAAAATTTATGTTACTTCATTTTTTTTTTGGTGCCTTACGCTATGGGATGTCCTGGTGGTAAATGCACTTGCTTCAAATGAAGAGTGTAGTGTAACGGTGTTGATCAGTGGCTAAGTCAAAAATTTAAGATAAGTAATGGGGTCAAAAGTTGAGCTTCCGTTACTAATCACGCAAGGCAAGCGATTTCGAATTCAAACACTGCCTTAATGTTTTGTTTGTCATTACCTTGAGGGTCATGGATGGCTCTCCTGAGAAAAGCGCTCTCGTCTTTGATAGTATCCTTTTGGCCACACCAAGTATGTCACCTTCTTTGAGCAACAAATCACACTTCTTTTCGGTATTATTTATGTGAATTAAGCCGAAATAAAAGAATGACCATTGAATACAAATGAGGAAACAAAGAAAAGAGTGGCCGGAAGGGAAACAACAAGTACCTTTGATAGATTGAATTGGAGACAAATGAAGCACTCAAAAACAAAAGTCCGATTTGGGAAATCGTTGAGAAAATGCTAAAATGATTGAATTGGTTAAGATTAGATGTTTTTTTATAGGCTAAAATTAAAATAGGGGAAATGTGGGAAAAGTGAATGAGAGTAGCAGTGGACTAGTAGTCACGGTGGTGGGAATATTTAGCAGGAGGAGAAGAGGCGCTGATGGAGTGATAGCTAACAAATGGAGTAGCAACTCTTTCTTCTTCTTCTTCTTCTTGTTTGGGGCTGTCGGCACCGAAAAGGCTCTAGGTGTTAAAGGAAAAGAAATCACTCAAGCTGCACCGAAAATGCTCTAAGTGTTAAAGGAAAAGAAATCACTCAAGTTGTACAAAGTGGACAGCAGGAATGTAGCATGTGGATGCACATTCTAGACAGTTTGGATAGTTGTATGTGGATACCACATCCTGGTCAGCAAGGGTTTGCACGTGGTGGATGCACATCATGGGCGTGGCAGCTGCATCATGGGCAACAAGGATGCCTTTTGTTTTATATTTGATTATTGCATGCGTGCTGTATGTTTATGTATATAATAGCTGCTTCCATTTGTAGCATTGTGCACATCAATAAAACATTTTTCAATCTTAAATTTAACACTAGGCCTTTCGATTTGGCCATAAGGTTATTGGGGTCAAGGAATCTCATTGCCCCCATTTTGGCTCCGCTATTGGTGTTGATGGAGTCCTAGATCCTGCAACGTGGTGGAGTTAAAGAGTTTTCACTTGTCATTGCAACCCAGATCCTACAATGCGTGGATCATAAAATAGCTCAATTTACGCTACGAACGATGAATTTTGTCCAGTGGATTGAAGAGGAACCCTAGTTGTTTGACCCCTTTTCTTATTATTGCTGTATATATAGTTTGGTTAACTCTGTGTTGCATTAATGAAGTGTTGTGGTATTTAGTTATGATCTCTTTAATAATTAGGAAGTGTTATTAGCACTAAAAAACTCATTCTACACTCCTCACAAGTGTATTTTCTTTCTAAATATAGAAAGTTAGGAGTGTAGAATGAGAATTTTGGAGTGCTAATAACAATTCCCTAATAATTTTCTTTGATTTATGTGATGATCATAATGTCTTTCGTCATATTAGTACATTAAAACTTTGAAAACGCCATATAACAACTATCTAACTTACATGTTTTGCTTTTCTCAAAGATTTATAAGAAATTAACTCGAAGAAAACACTAACAGCAATGAAGGAAAGAAAGAGACTAATTTAGCCTTAATTGGTTAAGAAATATGAAAAGTTCAAATTTCGTTTCTTTCAATTAAAAAACCGAATAAAAAAGAAGGATGATAATGACGTTCACCATTGCCACTTTGCCATGCCCACTCATTACCCACCAAATGACAATGACATTTTCTTTGGAACTACATTATGTAAAGGATTTTGGTGCCTGCACAATCATGTTTATTCTCGAACGTCCTTTATTTTTGGATGCTAGACCAATATTTTCCTCCTCTTTTTGTTTAACCTTAACAGATGCCACCAACCACCCCTTTTACACCAAGTTAGGGTTTGTCGGGAACCATTTTTATAAAAAATATTATTGAGTTTTAAAAGCATTTAAAGTACTTTTTGTAAGAAGCACTTAAAATACTTTTTGCAAGAAGTACTTATAATACTTTTTACAAGAAGTACCAATTATTGCTTCTTATATGAAGCATTTTAAGTGTTTTTTTTTCAGGTTTCACTTGCATTTTTTATTAAGGATTGTCTCAAAAATATTTTCATCAAAAGTTACTTTAAAAGCACTGTCAAATGAGTCTTTAAATGCTTGTCATTTCATTTATATGGTACTTTATTTTTCTTATTTTTGTAATTCCTTATCAATTGTGACTATTTAATTCTCCTCATAATGTTGTTAAAAAAAAAAAAAATCTCCTCATGATGCAATCATTTTAAACACCTTTATAAATGGTAAATTGCTTTGGTTGTTAAGACTTTCTTTTTCAATTTATTGCGTTCCTAGTTTTTACATGTTAATTTAGATTAGGAATTTTTTCCATTCGGTCAGATTGCTGAAGATACTTAACCATACTTATATTGTATTAATTGCTAAGGTGTCGTGCCCTAAAAAGATGACACAATTGCGGCCGATTTCGTTTTCAAATGTGCTAATATAAAATAATCGAAGGTGTTGGGACAAGACATTGTCTAAGTTAATGATAATGTTCAAATTTTAATTTTAAATGCTAATCTTTTAAAAAGTTGAACCATCAACCCACTACTAGCAACACAAATATTGTCTTACAATTTGTATTTTACTACATGCGCAAGGCAATAAGTGTAATAATTTTATCACAAAAGTTTTCTCTGTAATCAGAAGTTCAACCATTCAATATAAACCATGTTTAATTTTGTAAATCTCTAATGGGAGATTTGTATTCTTTAACACATAAATCCTATTATTTTTTGTGAGTTTAGAAATGATAAGTTTCATTCATGACTAATCATCTTCTACGACTAATTTGAACACCTTGCATACCTAAAGCTTTATCAAATTGGCTAAGATATTATGTTCCCTATATAAATTTAAATTCGAATCCACTTCAATGAATAATATAAATTTAGTGTCGCTGACATAAAAAAATCTAAACACAACTTAAAAGTTGATATCTATTTTCCATTCAAAAACATACTCCATGATGACGATGAAACCAAGAGAACAATAGTGCTTGTAAGGCTAATAACGTTTGGACCCATAAAATATGTGATGTGGGAAAGATATCAATAAAATTATAGGGTTGGTGATGAGAAGGAATCAGATCATAATCTATTATTTTCTGATGGAATAGATAGTTTCTGGTTTGTTTAGTTGATAGAGGGTTAGGCAGATTTTTCCTCCGAACTTAAAGTGTCTGTCAATTTTCCGCTGAACTTGAATTTTAACCAATTACATTTATGAACTTTTTACAATTAGTCAAATTTTCCTTAAATTCTAAAATTCAAACAAAAGTGTACGAAATGAACTAACATAAGAGAAGAAGAAAAAAGGATATCCACACTAGGAATAGAAATTATTTTTCTTTTTTAACAAACAATTGCTATATATCGTGCACGTGACTAAAATACATAATAAAAATTGAATGAAAAAATTTAAAACCTAATGCCTAAAAAAATTGACAAATTATAAAAGTTTAACCGAAAATCCACAGCATACTCTTTATTCGTTTAGCTTTTTAGTAATTTTCTCTGCTATTTTATAATATTTAATTTTTAAATTCATTTGGAATTTGGTGTTATGCTAACGTCATTGTGTCCGTGCCATACTGCCATCCAGTGGGTTACACAGAGAGAGAGAGAGAGAGAGAGAGAGAGAGAGAGAGAGAGCTATTTGTCTTCCTCGAAGCTTTTGAGGCAGAACACGCAAGACTCTGTTTTTCTATAATATTGGAATCAAAACTCAAAAGATAAGGCTTTTGAGTTTTGAGGTATTCTTCTCAGCAGCTAAAGCTCTGTGGGTGGATATGGCAGCTCGGAGACTCTCCTCCTTACTCTCTCGCTCCCTCTCGGCCGCTTCTTCTTCTTCTTCTTCTTCTGGTTCTGCAGCTTCTCTGGTTCGCTCTCGAGGTGGCCACCTGCTTCCCACCTTTGCCTTTTCTACTTTTTCGCTTTTTTACTTTTGTTTCGCTTTTTCTGTTAATCTTTCTTGGGTTTTCTTCTTTTGATTCCATGGTTTTTTTTATCTTCATACATGCTTTTACTGTTTTGATCTGATATTCTCTCTCTCTGATCATCAGATTCCAAATTTAATCCGTTGTTAACCTAGTTTGATCCGGCATTAAAAGGGGCGTTGACTTTTTTTGTTTGTGGATTACATAGATGACTAGCATCTTGGATCTTTATAAAAGCTAGCTGAATCCCCCAGAAATGAAAATTTAGTGATGTAAGATCCCCTGATGACAAAAATGATGCTAAAAGCTTAAGGTTGATGTGCAACCCAACTGAGATCATGCAAGTAATTTGGAAAAGAGAGACGACTCGAGTAAAATTTAGTTTTGCTTTTTGACAAAGCGATATGAGGATTTGAAGTGACGGGCACACTGTCCGTGACCAACTGACTTACCCACATTTGCGACTAATTCAAGCTGCAACTAATCGACGATCTATATGAATTTCTGCATTTGATTTGGTGTCTCTCTCTTTGTGTGTGTGTGTGTGTGTGTGGAATTTCTGAATTATGGCTTTCTTCTTGTGTTGGAGGGTGGTGGAAATAGTATGACCAAAAAATACTTGTCGCATGACTCAACTAACGATTTACAGAACGAAAAAAATGAAGGATGGCATTTTGATTTTAATTTTCTTTGATTTAATACGACTAATAATATTCGTCCTATGATCTGCAGGGAGAAGTGTTAGCAGGTTTAGCAGTACTTCTGTAGCAACTGAGGAGTTAATCATTCCACCTGTTCAAATTAGTCACACTCAGCACCTAATCAATGGGAAATTCGTTGACGCTGCGTCAGGTAATACTTTTCTTCATTGAACAAAAGATTTTCATTTGATGCCTTTGTGTTTGGCTAATTGGAACTTGCAAAAGGATGTGGCTGCCGGATAGAAAAACAGTGTAATGGAGCTAATGTTTGAAATTCTTGTTTGCCAGGAAAAACATTTCCAACATACGATCCTCGTACAGGAGAAGTGATTGCTCATGTGGCTGAGGGTGATGCAGAAGATATTAACCGGGCAGTAGCTGCTGCTCGCAAGGCATTTGATGAGGGACCGTGGCCGAAGATGAGCGCTTATGTAAGAACTATTGTACATCGCATTGGTGTGGATTTTAAAGTACATTATTCTGTTGTGCTTTCGCTGCTGGATTAGTATACGAGGGATATAAAGATATTGATCTGCATTTTCACTGAGACTTCATCTTTTTTTTTTCTTTCTTTTTGTCAGGAAAGATCACGGATATTATTACGCTTTGCTGATTTGGTTGAGAAAAACAGTGAAGAGCTGGCAGCTCTAGAGACATGGAATAACGGGAAGCCTTATGAACAAGCTCTGACCGCCGAATTACCAATGTTGGCTCGTCTATTTCACTACTATGCTGGTTAGAACACTAAAATGAACTGATTTGTTTTGCTTTTTCATTCATTACATTGTTTTTACTTACAATTTATTCCTCAAATCATCCAGGATGGGCTGACAAAATCCATGGTCTAACTGTTCCGGCTGATGGACCTTATCATGTGCAAACGCTGCATGAACCAATCGGTGTTGCAGGACAGATTATTCCATGGAACTTTCCTCTACTCATGTTTGCCTGGAAAGTTGGGCCTGCACTGGCTTGTGGTAATACGATTGTCTTAAAGAGCGCTGAGCAGACGCCTCTGACTGCCCTCTATGTGGCCAAGCTATTCCAAGAGGTAGGCCTGTGACGCCTCACTCTCCCTCGCTCGTACACATCTACGTGCCAAGAGAAATATATAAAAATAAATCTATAGTTTAATTAAATTTTTATTCTGCATCAACATGAAGTATGTGCATTCTATATTTCTTTTCCGTCCTAGTTCATTTTTCAATATACTCAGCTTCCTCTGTGACAGGCTGGTCTTCCTCCGGGTGTTCTAAACGTAGTTTCTGGAGATGGGCCAACTGCTGGTGCTGCTCTTGCCAGTCATATGGATGTGGACAAGGTATTTTTGGAGCACATTTGTCCTTCACTCTCCCTGTACACTGGATATGCCAGCTACTTAAAACCATTACCGCGTCCCTTTTCAGGTAGCTTTCACTGGATCAACTGATACTGGAAAGATTATTCTTGAATTGGCTGCAAGAAGCAATCTTAAGCCTGTAACATTAGAGCTCGGAGGGAAATCACCGTTCATTATATGTGAAGACGCTGACATTGATCATGCTGTGGAGCTTGCGCACTTTGCTCTCTTCTTTAATCAGGTTGGTTCAATTAGTTTTCCACAAAGCCGGGTTATGTACAATCAGAAGTTCAGAACACATCGTCAATGAATGCTTGGATGACATGCAGGGGCAATGTTGCTGTGCGGGGTCTCGTACTTTTGTACATGAGCGTGTGTATGATGAGTTCATAGAGAAAGCAAAGGCACGTGCTGTGAAACGTGTTGTTGGCGATCCCTTTAAGAAGGGCGTTGAACAAGGCCCTCAGGTACTCAAATATTTGTGATTTCAACGATGTTCTTTTCGTTTCATGTACTCATCTGCGATATAAAGAATTTAAGTTTTTAAGTTAGGCTTCTAATCATTGTGACAACTCACAGATCGACAATGAGCAGTTTGAGAAGGTCCTTAGATACATAAGAGCCGGCATCGATAGTGATGCTACCCTTGAATGTGGAGGTGGAAGATTGGGCTCCAAGGGATACTTCATCCAGCCTACTGTTTTCTCAAATGTTAAGGTAAATTATTTCTTCATCCAAAGTTAGCCGCTTCAACCCATACACTTGAAATATCATTTCGCGTAACACGATTCCTGAACATTTGAATCAGGATGATATGTTGATAGCAAAGGATGAGATCTTCGGCCCAGTGCAATCAATTTTGAAATTCAAGTAAGTTAAAACTGTCACACTGCATCAGGTTCTTGCATTGGAATAGTTTTGACATGCCTAATAATTTCACATTTTGTACCAGGGAGCTCGATGAAGTGGTCCGAAGGGCAAATGCAACACGCTATGGTCTAGCTGCCGGAGTTTTCACCAAGAACATTGACACCGCCAACTACTTGACACGGGCATTGAGGGCTGGGACAGTCTGGGTGAATTGCTTCGACGTGTTTGATGCTGCAATTCCTTTTGGTGGATACAAGATGAGTGGAATAGGCAGAGAGAAGGGAATCTACAGCCTTCATAACTACTTGCAGGTGAAGGCTGTTGTCACTCCTTTGAAGAATCCGGCATGGTTGTAGAAGACCGAACCATATGCTCCGATTTACGTGGTTTCAAATTATAAAGATACACAAAGTCTGTCTGGAATCGAAAGAAGTTGACGAGTTTCTGGTAGCATAAAGACGTTGTACTGTTTTATGGGAATGCTTCAAAAAGTTTCATCCGTTCAAATTTTAGTGATATTCAGCGTTCATTTTTAAATTGTGAACCAAAGAAACTGTTTGAGTTTCTCTTGTGAAATTAGTACAAATAACCAAGACAGATTTACAATCTTGTACCAAGTTGTTGAAAGTATAGGAACAAGAAGATTAAATCGGATATACCCATAGATTTCCACAAAAAAAAAAAAAAAAAAAAAATCCAATTTCATCTTTATCGGATTTTAATATTTATCGAATTTTAATATCAGAGAGGAAGGATTCTTTCTTTTTTAGGGCACTTCCAGGAACAAATTCAGGGTAGACAGGGTGGGGCCTGTAGCTAAGAGGATTAGAACACGTGGTTACGAACCACCACGGTGTCGGGGTTCGAATTCCTTCTCATCCACAACCGGCTGAAAAGGGCAGGTTTTGTTGCCATTGCAGCCAACCATGTCATCTTTTTGAAGTGAGATTCTTTCTAAAATATTATAATATAGGAGTAGGGTCAAACTCAGATGCAAGAAGTTGTCTGTGAAAGATGTCTGTGAAAGATAAGAGTAATTTTATTCGCAACAAATCACAGCTTGACAATAATGTTTTTTTGAGAAAAATTTCAGTGACAGTCATACGTCAAATTGGATAACAGTCATTGGATGAGATGATCAGATTGTAACTAAATGTAGTTAGTAAAAAATAGTTACACTTAATTGTTTTGATATGTCAATGTAACAGTGTGTTTTATAAAAATAAAATAAAAAATAAGATAAAATTGATTTGTTTTTCTCAATGTTTCTTCTTCTTCTAACCTAACACTGCCGTGAAATGTTATTAACATATATTTTATAATATAAGTAATCGACAAAATAATATATCAGAACTCAGTTAATCTAAATTCTAGAGTATGATAATAATCAACAACAACGTATACTATAATATTAATAAATCGATAGCACCGCTTGATCGGAAATCGACTAATTACTCCTTCCATGGAGAATGACATCAAAGACATATATTTTTTTAACACCCCAATCACAATTATAGGATAAACCAAAATCCAATGAACGCGTATTAATATACTAATCTCCAAAATTATTGCAAAGCAAAGACAATAGACGCGTTCAATTTGGCGCAATGTTGTTGGTCCACTTGTCAAACCCATTTGCGGCCACAAACAAGAGTTTGATTAGTGAAATAAAACTGATTATTTATGTATTAACTTATTGCTTAAGTGACCAAATTGCTTGAGAAATAAAACTGCTGAAATTACTTCACCGCCACACCTAAGCAGTTTCATTAGTATTAAAACATTGTTTAAGATCAGATCTCTCTAATACATTAATGAATTCTGATTAAAATAATTATTTATTTTCTCGACGTCATGTACGCCACGTATGTTTGTTGTTGGAAAATATGTTTCATTAAAAAACGAAAGAAGTATTATAAGATCATATTCAAAGAAGTTCATTCACAATTCAAAGAATCATGATTCATGAATGGATAGAACTTGGCTGCTGAAAGAATCAGCAGCACCCCCTGCTAATCACCAATTACGGTTGGACACGTGTTCAAGTTGGATTAAAAAATCAACAATTTGGACACGTGTCTAGCCGTGATTGGTGATCAGTAGGGAATGCTGCTGATTCTTCAGCAGCCAAGTCCCATTCTTCATGAATAATGGTGCATTTTTGTTCACCATCTTATTTATTACCATTGGATGAATTTAAATTTTGATATTTGTGTCTATATCTCGAAATTTAAACTCATCTAACGGTGATAAATAAAGTGGTGAGCTAAAATATTCCCAATGAACAAAAGCAAAATCTTAATCAGAAGCTTCGTTTCTTGAACACCATTATACGAAAATAATAATAATAATAATCTACATACTTCGCCAATCATTATTATTGTTTGCACCATACTTCACCAATCCTGAAACTGCCGAATACTGATCACTATTCATGCTAAGGCACAACTGATGAAACACATGAGTTTCTCTCCAACTGAGAGATTAATATAACGTGACACTTGTCAACACTAGAATAAGACTCTTAGATTCACACATCGACCAATGACAAAAACAGGAAACTCTCCTCAATTATAAAAAGATCTTTCACCCACAATTAAGCCTCTTATAATCTTAGTTTTTTTAATCCATTATTAGAACTTACCATTGATGATTATACATGAACCTTAGTACCATGCAAGCTCTACATTATTAATGAAAAATCCACTACACTCACGACGTAATTCAACTTAAAGTGAACCACTTGCATTTTGTGTTTGTTTTCCATTCACCATCTTTTTACACACTATCTTCACCTAGTGACTGAAGCAATTTTGTAAAAGTCAGACCTTACGTTGTTCTAAAATCTACCCGTTTTTATGCATAAATCAATTGTTAATAAACAGTTTAAACTAAAAAATTTTGGTCTGTGTAACGTGAACTTGCATGCGTTAGCCCATGCTTTTAAACTCTAATTTTCTATTTAGTCAACCGACTTTTGTCTCTAACTAAAATTGGAATAATACTTGGGTCCTGACCGGTCAGGACCCCACATACTGAATTTTTGAGGTGAACCAATAATATTGAAACAGCCGGCACTTTAAGTAAGTTTTCACTACTAGCCAAACACCCGCTATTTCCCTAACCAAACACTCTAAATTTCCTCTTGATCACTATCCAAGCACTCATCTTCTCTCTCGACAAGAAGACAAGCAGACACCCCATCCATAAGCGTCAACTGACCACCGTGGCCTCGTCGGATCACCCGTCGTCCGCAAGCTCCAAGCCCAAAGCTGCACCAAACTCGTCCTCCGTACTCAGCTCGAGCGAGACCTCACTCGCCAAGCCGCTTCACCACCACGCCGCTGCAACATTCGGGTATATGGGCTCGTGTTTAAAGTCGCCGCCGTAGATTTCATCGCTGTAATCTCACTGCGATCTCAATGCGATGTGGAGTCGACGCTTGGAGGAGGTATAAAAAATGATATCAACGAAGGGGAGCTTGGAGCAGGTGTTCTTGGTCTCACGGATTCAGAGGGAGGTGGAGGAAGAAGGTTTTTGTTTGGTCACGGGTTTAATGAAAAAATTGGATGTTTGGTTACAATGATATCAAGGTTTTGAAAGAAAACGGAATTGACGTGTGTTTTAAAATTACTGGACCACGTAGTAAGTGAGTAAAATTGGTACTGACTGATCAGTACCCAAGTATTGTCCTTAAATTGACCCACAACACAGGAAAACACACGTGTTCCTCTGGCTGCCCCATTGCCACCGCAACACGTCGCCCAAAAGCTGTGTCCACGTGTCTTAGTCGGCTTGTGGTCCGCACAGATATCACTCTCCGGCCAACTACAATCAGTACGTAGACACGAACCCCACCTCGCCACGTGTCCAGGTAACCTATCCAGCAATCCTAGACAAATTTGGAACGTGGACTGCTAGGATCCCGCCACGTGCCCGTTATCTACATATATAGTTGCTACTCCTGCTGCTCCTCCCATTAATTCCGTAAACAAACACAGAGCAAAAACAGAGAACCATTTCTCTTCTGATTCGAATTCTACACCAATTCTATGTACAAAAACAGAGCCACTCTGTTTCTCCACACACAATTGTATCAATGAATTCGAAATTTGATAGCGACGACCGCCGGATACTCATGTTTCCGGCGGTGCGCCCTTGCGAATGTATTTCTCAGGAGACCCTTCTCGAGTCTCTGATCCCTCTCTCCCACACAATCTGCAATTTCCACTCGGAATGCTTCGCGACGCAACGGAAGAATAGCCGGGAAGCAATTCGCCTAGTTCGTGTTCTTCTCATGTTCTTTGAGGAGGTACGTGAATGCAATTCGGTTCTTTCGAAATCTTCCGCTGTCCTCTGCTTCTCCGAGCTTCATTTCGTCTTCCAAAAATTCCGGTTTTTGTTGGAAGATTGCACGAGAGAAGGCGGTCGGATTTTGATGCTGACGAAATGCGAGTTTCTTGCTACACAATTTCGGCTGCTGATTCGAGCTTTGGCGACGGCTCTTGATGTTTTGCCGTTGAAATTGATCGATGTTGGCGATGAAGTTAAGGAATTGGTTGAATTGGTGTCGAAGCAATCGTGGAAGGCCAAAATCGAGCTCGAAGCGGATGACAAATTAGCTTCGAAACGATTGCTTGCGATTCTGAGCCAATTCGAGAGGGGAATCGAGCCCGATTTGAATGCCGTAAAGCGGGTCCTCGATTACCTTCGAGTCAAAAGATGGAGCGACTGCAACATGGAGATCAAATTCTTGGAAGAAGAAATTGCTTTCAAGCGTTTGGATGGCGACGAGAGGGAGGTTCCTTTTCTCAGTAGCTTGGTGGGGTTCCTGAGCTACAGCAGGGGAGTGATCTTCGAAACATTGGATCATCAAAACGCGGCAAATCAAATCGATTCGAGGTGCAACGTGGAGATGTTTCGTTGCTTAAACCCTGAAGATTTCAGGTGCCCGATTTCTCTTGAGCTAATGCTTGATCCGGTGACTGTATCTACAGGTCAGACATACGATCGAAGCTCGATTCAAAAATGGCTCCAATCCGGAAATATGCTCTGCCCCAAAACAGGAGAGATGATGACAAACACAGAGTTGGTACCGAATTCGATTCTTCGCAAGCTACTAAAAAATCTTTGTGAATACAATGGCGTTTCTCTTGGCAGGTCAGGAAGGCAAAGCTCCGACAAAGATCAAACGGCAGCGCCTGGTAGCCCCGTTGCTAAACAAGCAATGAAGTTTCTCTCGAGATTTCTCAGCGGAAGGCTTGCTTGCGGAACAAGCGAACAGAAAAACAAGGCTGCTTATGAAATTCGACTGCTAGCCAAATCAAACATTTTCAATAGGTCTTGTTTGATCAAGGCTGGCTCCATCCCTCCTCTGCTGAAGGTATTGAATTCCGCCGATGCATCCACGCAAGTGAATGCAATTGCAGCCTTGTTGAAACTCGCGAAGTATGCAAGCGGAATGAAATTGATAATGTCATGGGGAGGACTACCATCAGTTGTTGCTGTTCTTAAAAATGGGTTGAGTTTAGAAGCCCGGCAATGCGCAGCTGCAACGATATTTCACCTCTCTTCGACAAGCGAGTATCGGAAACTAATTGGAGAATTACCTGAGGCCATCCCAGCTCTTGTGGAGCTGATCAGGGAAGGAACAACGTGTGGCAAAAAGAACTCCGTGGTTGCAATTCTTGGGCTGCTCCTTCGTGCCAAGAATCGACAAAAAGTGCTGGACGCAGGCATTGTTCCATTGCTAATTGACATAATATCTTCATCATCAGAAAACCCTGATCAGCTTGTTGATGATGCATTAGCAATTCTTGCAATTTTGGCCGATAATGCGGTAGGATCACACGAAATCCTCTACGCCATTGATTTGCATTTGATCATCCGCATTCTTCAAACTTCGACATCCCAAAGAGCGAAAAAGTATTGTGTTTCAACATTGCTGTCTTTGTGCATCAATGGCGGGGCGGAAGTTGTTGCTGTTTTGGCAACGGAATCATCTCTAATGCCTAGACTGTTTTCGCTCTTGACTGATGGAACATCTCATTCGATCAAGGAAGCGTGCTCCCTCATCAAAATTCTCCATAACTTTGGTGAAACTAGCGCACCGAGATGGATGAGTACTGCAGTTAGGCGCAAACAATGCGTTCGGTAACCGTGATTCATCTCGATTTTGCATGTAAATACATTCATAGATGGTGTAAATATTTTAAAACAATCATTAGTTTTCCGGCAACAGAAAGTTTATGGGGAGGGGAGGCTACTCCATTACAGGATCAGACATACCAGAAGTGTCTTTGAGGACTTATACAGATTGTCCATCAATAGAGATTGCCGGTAATGAGACTTGAAGATCTAGTGAAGAGAACGACCCTTACCAACTTAATCAACCCTTGAACCTAGGCCTTTTTACTCTTTGATTTGTAAGGAGATTAGCTCTTGTTTTCTTCAAGTAGCCATATGTGACCTTATTGCTTGTATATCGTTTTACACAGTTGAATTTGGTTTTTCTTGTGGCGGAATAAGGGGACCCTATTTAGTTTTGGAAAGAGTCCCTACTAGTAGCCTTCCTAGTCCTATTTGGTTTTGAATACCTATTCATTTTGGAAAGATTATGTTTTTAGAATATATTTTGTAAGTAACCTGAAAAGGTGGTTGATTGATGGATTATTTCCTTAATCATCACCCGTCACATTATATTATCTGCAAAATATAATTTAAGTAATTATCTCTGTATCATTACTCTTAAAAATTTTAAATTCAAATGTAAGAAATATTATTTAGGCTTTAACTTGGCCCAATTACTTGTAGTGAGCCCCACTCACTTTTTGTGCATCTAAACTTTTATTAAAAACACAATAATCATCGGTAATCAAAATCAGATTCCTCGGTAAACATGTCCTTTAAGTATCAACAAGAACAAATAAATGGGCCCAAGGCTTAACCATAAAAAGCCCACATAAGAAAAATATGGGCCTACCCTCAAATCTAATCTCACTTCGGCTTTTACCTCTTTGACCGTTGACACTTCCTTGTAGAACAACCAGAAGTTTCCCACCTAAAATCCCTAATTCCTAATTTCTCAGCTTCTCCAATCTCTCTCTCTGTATGTTCTACTTATTCTTTAATTTCTCTATGTTTTGAATCTGATTTCGTGGAATTTGAAAGCTGAACCCGCTTTTTGTTGTATTAGGTGTGTGCGCTTTGAGGATCGATATGGCGGCGGAGCCCCAGGCGGTGACGGAGGTCGCGAAGATGGATCTATTCGAAGACGACGACGAGTTCGAAGAGTTTGATATCAACCAAGGTATGAATTCTGCGCTTCAATACATGTTTGAATCGTTTAGCCTTAATTTCAATTCAATCTCAATTTGTGCTATTTATTTGTTAGGGTTTCAATTGATTGGAAATGTTTGAAATTAACTGTTATTGACTTATTGTATGTATTTTTTTAATTGATTTGGGGATTTTTGCAATGTCTCGCCTGCATTGGCATTTAGTAGGTGGATTTAAGTTTTTAGGTCTCTTAGTTTTGACCCTGTGGTATGCTAAAACTGTTGAAATTCGGTAATTTGCTTATGAATTCAAATTGGTTAACTTATTCTGGGCCTCATGCTTCCCAAATCGGGTAACTTGTTTGAATATTCGTTAATTTGACGAAGAATTCAAATTGGATAACTGCTTTGAAGATGGAGCCGTTCTTGTTGTGTTCGGTATTGTTTTGTAGACTTAATTTGTGTAAACACAGTGCTTCCCTGCATATCTGGTTTAAGTTTAGAGTACCTGCATTGCTTTTACTTGTGGTTCATGCTGTTGTGTGTACGCTTGCAATGCTGATCTGGTAAGAGTTATGCCTCGTTCTAACTTCGTCTTGTTTTGTTTTTGAACAATGACAGAATGGGAGAACCAAGAGGAAGGCAAAGAAGTGACACAGCAGTGGGAAGACGACTGGGATGATGATGATGTTAACGATGACTTCTCTCTGCAGCTGAGGAGGGAACTTGAGAACAATACTGAGAAGAGCTCAGCTTAGTCTGCAGACTACGTCGGTAGTTTTCTTTGTTTTGTGAACTTGAGATGGGTTTTCTTGTTATCTTTCGTTTCAAAACACTAGCTTTTACCTTTCCAATGTACTTTTTTTTTTAATAAAGCCTCAAGATTTAGTGGTTTGAGGTGAGTTTGAGTTTTGCTTAGAATCACAAAGGTTAAGCTTGTCCCTGTGAATGTGAAATCTTGAGAGCACTTTACATTGTATGTTTTCCTAGAGGTATGCGTAAACATCCGAAATTTGTAAGCTAACATGTTAGTAGATGATGTCCTGGTCTTCGTGAGTTGAAATTTATATGGCGATGCTTTGTATCTATAGCGTGACCATGAACGTTGTTGTCCGAAAACCCCTCGTTAAGGTCTGAGGGGCATGCCTATTCGACCAAGAATGGTGAAACAGTTATCGCATGTTTTCATTGCTGTGTACTCGACAGATTGTTTTGTTCTTCAGGGTTCTTCTGAATTAACTGATCCTTCGCGTTATCATGGCTTGCACAAAGGGTTTACTGAACTTCATGAAACGGGAAGGCTAAGATGGCGGTGTCCCAATTATATCATGCATCGCCGTATGTTTTAATAACATGTGATTGCATTATTGGTTTGAAACACTGCCACTTGGTGTCCCCGTTTATGTAAGTCCTCGAGGCTCAAGATCAACAAACAGGGCGAAACTTGAGCTTTTGCCCCCTAATGCAAGGCGACCATAACAAATTTTGCAGTCTATTGTGGCTTCAAATCCCAATCTACCGTCGGCAGGAAACCAAATTTTTTTTCCCCTTCCCAATGCGATCACATTAAACAGAAGCAGCATTGAAATCTTCATGAAAAAGGATGCAAGCAAAGAAAGATTTTACAAAAAAATCATCATTGGCAGCGAATACAAAACATAGAGCAACCTGCCTGCTAGGTCATTTCGACTCAACAATCGCCGGAAACACCACTCCCCCCTCCCAAACTCACATCAATATTTGGAGTTTTAGCACGAGTCTGACACACCGGACAAACCATAGTCTTCAGCAACCACGAGTCTATGCATTGAGCATGGAAGCTGTGCCTGCAATTTGGCAACAAACTGCATTTTTCTCCTCCCTTGAAACTTTCCAAGCAAACTGCACAATCCACAGGGTGGTTGGTAGTGGTCCCTTTCTCTTCTGCCGTGTAGTCGAAGCAAGGCGGCATGTTCAGTTCCTCATTGGACATGTTTTTTATCCCAACAATGCTGCTTCTTTGAACCAGATTAACACCTTGATCATTGCCTCTGTTGAATGCTCTCCCACCGATACACACATGGATTACTACTAAAACAGCAACCCCCACGAACAGTAAGATCACCAAGATTAAAATCTCCATTCCCTAAATATTGTACAGAAGTAACACAACCGAGATGAAACCCAATTAGCCGAAAGCTTCTGGAATGGCTTAAAGCACTTCCGACTGCGATTGAAAGAATAACTCGCATCTGCCATATACTTATCCAGGAAGCTCTCTTCCAAGTGATTGGATTTTTTAAAAATTTCCAACGTGCTTCTAGCGGAAGTACTTTCTAGAGAAGCAACCTAAACGAGCCCGAAAGCTTTCGAAGGCCACCTCATGCATCAAAGCCATCGATCTTATCTGAAATAACGCAGTTTTGAACAGACCGGTTCAGGTGGCATGAAGAAACTGAAACAGAAGGAAAGAACAGAAGCTTATAAGTGTCTTGGGGTTTGAGTTTTGGTTGAATTATGTGCATGGCAGTTTTGTAGTTACAAGTGGGCTGCTTCTGTCCCTTTGTGCTAATAAATTACGGATAGAAAGGATACAAATTCCAGGCCTTGAGAATTGAGGCAGAAAGATTTTATTCAAAGTTTAGACTAATCCATCCAAAATAAGAAGTAATCTATGGTTAAAAAGATTGAAAATTAGGTTAAGCTCTCTGATTGAGAGAGAGGCAGAGAGAGTTGGTTTTGCGTTTAAAGTTGAGGCCAGGCTAAACGCTAATTAGAGTTTGAAATATGTGCATAAACTTTTATGTTAATGGTTTTAGAGAGCTAATTTTGCATTCATATCTTATTGTGACTTACATGTAAAAAGTAATGACTCTATATATTTCTTAACGATCATAACTTATCATTAATCTGACCGATTAATTTAAACAAACGCTCAAGAAATTGGATTTTGCTCATCAACAAATTAGGTTCTTAAAACGGCGATTCTATAACCAAACTTGTACAACACAAGAGTTTGCTAATTAGACATTTTCAATTAAACAAAGGGCATGTTTAATTTGATTTATAATTATGATGTCATATATATAATGCAAGGCAAGCTTGTTAGTTAGCCCAACTTCGTCGCGGAAATAATAAGTTAGGTCATCTCCAACAGAAAGGTTCAGAGGGCTAGAAGGCCGAAAATAACCTGAAAACCGTCTCCAACCAAGGGCTAGGCCAGAGGGTTGGTGGGCCCCACGAAATCTGAAAGGGCCAAAGGGTTGGCTAGAAAATCATAGCAATTCTGTCGGTTATAACTGACAGGAGTATATTTAATATAAATATATTCCCGTTGGTTATAACTGACATGATTGCTTAAAGAAAAATTTGAATCCAACGGCTAGCTGACGTCAGCTAGCCGTTATTTTTGAATTTTTTTTTTTACAATTTTATTTATTTATTTATTTTTTTACAAAATTTTTCCTATAACTTCTATTTTTTTCTATAACTTCCTATAACTTCTATTTTACAAAATTGTTTCGTATTTTTTTTTAAATTCCATTTTTTCTTATAACTTCTATTTCACAAAATTTGTTCTCTCCCATTGTCAGATCTCAAAATCTTAACATTTATACCACACTGATTTTTTTAAATTCTATTTTCTCCTATAACTTCTATTTCACAAAATTTGTTTCATATATATTTTTTTAAATTCTATTTTTTTCCTATAACTTCTATTTTACAAAATTTGTTTCATATTTTTTTTAAATTCCATTTTTTCCTATAACTTCTATTTCACAAAATTTGTTCTCCCCCATTGTCAGATCCCAAAATCTTAACATTTATACCACACTGAGTTTTTTAAATTCTATTTTTTCCTATAACTTCTATTTCACAAAATTTGTTTCATATATATTTTTTTAAATTCTATTTTTTTCCTATAACTTCTATTTTACAAAATTTGTTTCATATATATTTTTTTTAAATTCCATTTTTTCCTCTAACTTCTATTTCACAAAATTTGTTCTCCCCCATTGTTAGACCTCAAAATCTTAACATTTATACCACACTGAGTTTTTTAAATTCCATTTTTTCCTACAACTTCTATTTCACAAAATTTGTTTAATATATTTTTTTAAATTCTATTTTTTTCCTATAACTTCTATTTTACAAAATTTGTTTCATATATTTTTTTAAAATTCTATTTTTTTCCCTATAACTTCTATTTTACAAAATTTGTTTCATATTTTTTTTTAAATTCTATTTTTTTTCCTATAACTTCCTAAGCCATTATGCAACATTATGTTGTAGTTTTTAAATAATAAATAATAAATGTTGACGTCACTTAGCGGTTGGATTTGAATTTAAGTTTTAGTTTTTAAATAATAAATCATGTTTGACCCTATAGCCTTCAGTTGGAGACCGTTTTTTGTGACAGGGCTAAAATGAGCCCAATCGCCGTGTACTGTTCATTAAAATATTAATATCTTGGAGGGCCAGAGGACTAAAACGAGTCTTCTGGCCAGCCCTCGGTTGGAGATGACCTTAGATGGTGGTAGTTGGAGAATTCATATAAACATGCCCCTTACTTTTAATTTTAAATCTAGTTATTAATAATTTTTATCAAATTATCATGTTTAATCATGTACGAAAGTGGGTCGATAATTACATGCAATATCAAAAGTTTGACAAGGATAAATAAAGGGTAAATATGATCTAATTGCTATATTAAATATATATATATATATATATAATAAAACAAAGTCTTGTAATTAAATAAACAATTTAATGCATACAGATTATAGAAAAACAATGCTAAATGTAACATCCCACATCGTTCAGGGGAATGGATCTTGTAAACCCTATATGTATATTTCCATCTCTACCTAGCATGAGGCCTTTTGGGAGCTCACTGACTTCGGGTTCCGTAGGAACTCCGAAGTTAAGCGAGTTCGCGCGAGACCAATTCCAGGATGGGTGACCCCCTGGGAAGTTCTCGTGTAAGTTCCTAAATTGTCACATCCCAGCCCAGGCCCCCACCACATCCAGGGCTCGACTCCACCGTAGCACGATAGTCTGCTTTGGGCCCCTACCACACCCTCACGGTTTTGTTTTTGGGAACTCATACGAGAACTTCCCAGTGGGTCATCCATCATAGGATTGCTCTCGCGCGCTACTCGCTTAACTTCGAAGTTCTTACAAAACTCAAAGCCAGTGAGCTCCCAAAAAGCCTCGTGCTAGGTAGAGATGAGAATATACATATAAGGTGTGAGTTCCCAGAAAGCCTTGTGCTAGGTAGAGATGAGAATATACATATAAGGTTTACAGGATCCACTCCCCTGGGCGATGTGGGATGTTACACTAAATGCGTATGAAAATAGATTAGAAAAACTTAATAATGGTCGAGGCAAATGTTAGATATTATGCCCTTAAGAAAAGTTTATCGGGGCCCACTATCAGTGGTGAAACTAGAATTATCGAGGGTGTGGCGAATTTAAAAGAGTGCAAGGTTCAAAAAAATGCAACAATCAAATCCTTTTATATAGTAATGTTGTCTATCAAAATCACATATGAAAAAATAGCAATAATGTCAAAATGCAACATCTTTTGCTATATAATACTTCAACCACTCATAAGTATCAAACCGATTACCCAAAACATTGGAAGGAGGATTTGATCACTGTATAGCTCCGCCTAGTCCCTCCTAGTCCAGCCTAGGCGTCCGCTAATGTGCTTTTCGAATTTATGGCCGATTAGGAAAGGGCTCCATGACTTGCACGTTTTTCGAGAGAGCAAAAAGGGGACCCGTCGCTCATGGGCTTCACTTTTGGCGATGGGATCCCTCTGTAGCTTCGCCTATGTAATAGTAACATTCCAAATCATGATTATTTTGAAAACTCTCTCATATGGACTTAATGAGACTATAATATTTAGTGCACTTTATGTATGATTATGTGAATAATAAAAAAGTTATTCATGACTACTTAGGGACTTGCCTATTTATAGAAGTAGACATGTGTCTCCGGAAAGCATGTTACTATTCATAAATAGTCAAAAGTTGCCACCGTTTATTTGAATTTCATATTAGAATAAACACATATAAAACCAAAAGGCACCACTTTCAATTTCTATTCAATTAATAGAATCAATATTATAGTTATTATATGAATTTTTCCAACATAAAAAGATGTATATGACACTACTATTTTTTATTTATGGGAAATTATACGGAGACTCTCTTCAAAGTGTGACTCTTCGTGAACTCTTTGCCACCTAACCGATTTTTTTTTTTTTTTTTTTACCATTTGATTTTAATACTTTCTTTGTTAATAAAACCTAAAGGTTTTCTGAAAATGCAAAAGCCTTTTTGGTAAAGAAAATGCCAAAGCTTGGAAACCAAGTAGATAAGATAGTGCAGAGATCGATGACCTAATTTCTTTTGGGTTAAAGCTGCTCCACTCTATTTTGTAGGACTATTTTAGACCAACAGGATCCTCTCCAGATCCTCTTGGAAATCTGTGAATCGTGTTCGTTATCGTACATCGTATAGTCAGTTTTTATCAGGTACTTTTTGTGTTTAATTTTAAATAATTTCTGACCGCACGATGTACGATGAACGAATACGATTTACAGATCCTCGGGATCCTCATAAAAGGATCCGGATTCTATTTTAGATACAAATCTGACATTAAGAGCTTGTTGCTTATATTTATTTTTTAAAAAAAGAGAGTAGATAGTATTAACATACCAACTAATTAACATTGAGCATACCAACTAATTGACAATTGCTGCAGATGTGTAGTAACTATTGTCTTCTAAATGTTATTTGAATTCTAGTAACCATAAAAATTTCTCCGCATGTTGATACTTAAAGGATGTAATTTTTGTCACCACAATAAAGTGGTGATACTGTTCACTACTCAACTTATTATATTTGAATGTATTTAAATTTTGAAGTTTGTATCTATCTAGTATCCATTAGATCTGAAAATTTAAATTCATCTAGTAGTTATAAAAAAGATGTTGAACATCATCATCACCTGAAGATTGTGGGCGAAACAATTCCCAATATTGAAATTGAAACACCGGCTTGAAGCTGGACATGTGGAACGTATATACAGGAGAGAGAAATCCGGGGTTGCTATATACTCTACCTGAAATTACTGAACTGCGGGGGTTTTTTGTTTTCCCTTTTTTTGTGGAACCCTAATCCATGAAACGCCGCTCTATACTATCTGGAAACGGATATATAGTGAGGAGATGATTCACCACACTCACACCACTCCTAATTCAACGGTGAATTATCCAGAACCATATATTAATTAACAAAAGAAAATGTTAATTGCGGTTGATTAGAAAATTAAGGACGAAAATTTAGTCAATAGATTTAGAGACCCTCCAAATTTAGTGGATGGTATCTTGTTTTGATCCAAAACTTCATGCATCCGTTCATATATAGGTAGGTTGACCCTTTAAATAATTAAAATTTGGATTCATTAAGATTAAGTACTTAAACTAGCACTCTTTAAACAGAAAAATGGTGGACACAGGCTTAGTCAGAACGATTATTGGCATTATCGGTCAGTGAAATTGTGTTGGTGTTTGCTTTTTACCTCTTACTTTTACGTTTTCAAATTTATTTTTTATCAGTAGCGACATATCGAGTTTTTGGTGACCTTGTGCATGGCACCATGCATGAACACATGATTTAGGGTTTCTTTGTCAAAATCGTAAACTAAATGAAAATACTAATTAATCAATGACTGTTTTATCAAGAAAGAATGTGTGACGTCTTTGGTTAATTGTATGAACTGATGGCTGACAAAGAATCAAACATGAATGTGTACACAAAGATAAACGAACTGCATATATTGCACGTATAATGTGGAAGAAATACATCGGAAATGCTCTATACATTTTGATAAAACTGTATATATTATTTAAGCATAATTACCAGTTGATTTTTGTCTGAATGTGTTTTCTTGTGACAAAATTATCTAAACATAATCTTCCTTAATCTAGGTTTTTCTAGTATTTAATATTTTTTCACTTTTTCCTGTTAAATCTTTTACATTTCTAATGATTTTCTTGTTCCGCATATACCTTGCATCCAGGAAATGTCATCTCTTTGTGCTTATTTCTCTCCCCAATGTAACTCTCTCTCTCTCTCTCTCTCTCTCCCCCTCCCTCTCTCACCTCTGCAATTACAAAACTAATTAATCTAATTGTGTTGATTAATGAATCCAACATTGCAGCCCAACATTTTATAGAATAGTAAAGCAAAAAGCAGTATCAGATTTCAAGCCGGATCCCTACGTAGTAACGTTGCTGAATTGTGCCTTATGGTTCTTCTATGGCCTGCCCTTTGTCCATCCTGACAGCATTCTTGTGATAACAATCAATGGCATTGGATTTGTCATCGAACTCGTCTACATTTTCGTCTTCTTAATCTTTTCTCCAGGTTCACAACGCGTAAGTATATATTGCAACATGTAAGTATATATTATGCTAACGGAATTAATAAAAGTAATATAATTTAGACACACAACGATACGATCCACTTTTATTAAAAAGTATATTAACAAATGCATTAGTTGGTGCGCCAAAATACGTTATGTTGTTAAATGTATCAAGTATTAATATTTCTTTGTGATTCAAGTTATCTTCTTTGTCATTGTGGTAAAACTTATATCCTAATGTTTTTCCTTTTCTTGGGTTGCAGTTGAAGGTCTTTATTGCACTTGTGGTTGAAGTTGTCTTCTTTGTTATTGTGGTTTTTGTTACCATGTACGTTTTCAGTACAACTAAAGAGCGGTCTCTGGTAGTTGGGATCATCTGCATTGTCTTCAACATCCTTATGTATGTATCACCATTGACAGTCATGGTATGTATATATTTTTCTATGAATTAATTAGTACTCTCAACTAATATTGATCAATCTCTTCACTGGAGAAGAACTTTAAGTAGGGCATAGAGATTTTGATGGTGTTCACTGATAGTTGTAGTTCTATAAGATTCCCGGATCATAGCCAAATAATATGAGACCCATTAATTTGTGAGAGTCTGTGATTATTGTTGCCCTACCCAAGTTTCTCTCATTTTCGTTGATCTATGAGAAAATCAATTTCATATATTTATGTGTTTTTATTTTGACTGGTAGGGCATGGTGATCAAGACAAAGAGCGTAAAGTATATGCCATTGTGCCTCTCACTTGCTAACTTCTTCAATGGAGTTATTTGGCTGGTCTACTCACTCCTTAAACTGGATATCAATATTCTGGTAATTTTATGAACCAAATTAAGTTTCAACACATATTAATTGACCATATGAGCGCCAACTAGTAAATAAAAGAACCTTTTCCTATACAAAAGTGCAAATTTTTAACATGTTTGTTTGAATAACTTTGGCAGATTCCAAATGGTCTGGGAACGATTTCCGGCGCAATGCAGCTCATTTTGTACGCCGTCTTCTACAAAACCACTCGATGGGAAGACGACGTTAATGTCAGACCGCGGTCGGAGGTCCAAGTGTCCAATGTTTAGTGAGAAACTAATTGACAAACAACAAATTTGTTTATCCCACTAAGTAGGGTCGGCTGCTTATAGAGAAACTAATTGACATGCATTAATATTTGTTTCTTGTTTTATTTTCTATGGCCAACTAGTTCTTGAGCCATTTAGTTCCTCAAAATTTTTGCAGGTTTTTGCCTGAATTATATGTCGAGTTAGTCATTAGATGGATTACTGCTGTAATTAACTGTATTAGTTGAGGTAATGCTATTTGTATATTAGCGGTCCTATCACCCTCAAATTTGCTCAGTTGATCCTTATTACTTTTTGAATAAGTTTTATCCAATTCTTTGTCCTTGGGAAAAACTAAAACACAAACTTTTGTTCTTGGTAAGCTAAAACCAATCAAACAAGTTCAACTCTCTGATGCGTAGAACTTGTTTGACTGGGACAAACACTTCCATGCAGTCAATTACCTAAATAATTCATCAAACAGGCACATACCTAAAAAAAAAAATATGGTCAATTGAGTCATAAATTCATGTCGTTATAACTAGTATATAAACGGATCTTCCAAGGTGCTGGTAGTGCCAGTCAAATAAATACACATTCGTTTTAACGAAAAGAAAAGAAAAAAAGGGTAACAATATTTAATAAAAGCTTTACATCCTCGAAGAAAACGAGAAAAGTAGCATTGCTCCATCAATCTATACCTTTCTGTTCATCTCCTTTTGATATATCCCATATATCTTTTTCTCTGTTTGCTATCTTAAGTACAAATTGGACTCTTTTGATCTTGGAAATAATCACATCCCAGTTGGTATCTTAACGAATAAAATCTTCACGGTCCTCGTTTCATTCGAAGGCAAAGACAGCCCTGAGACTGATCTTGAGGGATCATACCTCCGCCTTTCGTTGTGTCAATCGCCTCCAACATTGTGACTACCTCATCCATCTCTGGCCGCTTGTCTGGGTTCGCATCCCAGCATCGCTTCATTACATTTGCAAGGGCACTTGGACAACATCTAGGTATCTCAGGTCTCAAGTTCTGTGGTTGCAAAGAGGCACATGATAGCAATAAAAGGATTAATTTCGAGGAACAAAAAATTACAACTTAGGCTGATGGTTGAGATAGGAAAATGGTTTACCTGGCGAACCACAGCTGAAGTCACTTCGGAGAAACTAAGGTCAGGATATGGCATGTCACAGCAATATATTTCCCATAAACAGATGCCGAAACTGTAAACATCACATTTCCTGTTATATGGGTTGCCATTGAGGACCTGTCACCCACCCATTTGTCAAGTCACTAAACATACAGTAAACAATTATTTTATTGTACGTTTCCTGTCTTAGCATAATATTAGCAAAACCGCCCTCCTTACGTCAAGCGAAACAGGGTTTGGAAATGCCAAAGTTTCATTTTCATGCAATAAGATTCAAGAAACTACATGCGCATACACATGTGATTACCAACTACCTAAGATTCAAGAAACGTAGCTGGTAAGGTGGTGAAGTCGTAGCCAGAATAATTTTAGCAACTAGAGTAGACCAAATACCTCAGGAGCCATGTAACCAAGCGTGCCGGTCTCCCCAGTCATGTCATTGGGATTTGAAGCTTCAACACGAGCAACACCAAAATCAGCAATCTTGACTACACGACTCTTGTCCAGCAGCATGTTCTCCGTCTTTACATCTCTGTGAACAATTTTCTGTGAGTGTAGGTAGCTCAACCTGGAAAACACAGCACAAGTGAGTCTAAGTGCTTGGCTTGACAATAACGCAGCCTGAAGTTCACTCTTTTTCTACCAAATTACAATGCTCTGACGAAAAGGAAATTAAAAATAGTATAAGAACTGAAAAGGGATACCCTCTAGCAAGATCTAGTGCCAGCTGGACAACGACTTTAAAAGCTAGCTTCCTTCTCCTATTCTTTATGAGGTATGATTTTAGAGCACCCCCAGGAAGATATTCCACAACGACACAACAGATATTAGTTGGCATGCCAATTTGACCATTTTCTGTCTGTATTTGTAGATCTGATGAACCCATTGTCGCCCCAATAAACTGGACATCAAAAGACCAGAAGTTTAGCGAGATTCAATCTGTAATAAAAACTACTAGAAACTAACTGCAATGTATATCATATTTCTAGAAATCAAAATATAATCACAAAATATTTTATGCATGCAATTTATGTACTAAAGCAGCATTTAAGTTTTGAACTTATAGCCTGTTAAATAGCATAGAAAATTGTCGTATTTATGACGTCCAGACAGAAAAAAATGTAGCATGTATTCACTACTGTACAGATATTTAAAAAGTTATCCTTAACTTTTTTGCTACCTTAAATTGCTCAGTAAATTCTGAAAATTCATGATACAAAAACTCATGCTTCTACCTCACTCAGGTGGTGAGAGATGCAACTGAAGGATACCAAAGAAAAGGAAGGCAACTGTCTCGGGTAAGGTTACAACCTTAGGCTGTGATACATCAAGAAGGATAATGATATGGTGACTAGAGAACAATTTTATCACTAGGAAGTTAGAAACCTCTCTGCGGACACATTATGGATAACGCCAGAAAAACCAACCCTAGTGAAGTGACGTAGTGAATGTCTTTAACGTTATGTATGCTAAAGGCTTCCTTAAAACAAAGACATTCGGGTTTTGATATTCATAAAAGTTAGAAGAATCGATCAAATCCATTGACACTTAACAACAATTCTAAAAATAGAGAGGCAGAAAGTTACCTTAGTAACATTAGGATGATCTAGTTTATGCCAGACAGCAACTTCTTGAGTAAAAGCTGCTCTTAGAGAAGCAATCTCGGAGTCTGTCCTGTGACCCTCTTCACCCCAGTCAAGCAGTTTAACTGGCATTAAAAAAAAGGAGCCGTCATTGTAACGGTAGAACTTGCAACCAGATTGAATATCATGACGAACCAATAAAAAGAAAAAGGAAGGGAAAATACAAAGAATCGAAAAGGATAATTTGGTTGAATTAGACGATGATGACGACAGTGACTACAATAATATGTCGACAAATAAGGATCTTACTTTCACTAACATAAATATGTATGTATGAGCATTTTTCCTATTCAGTTGCTGGACAGGTTTCAACTAACAGGTGGGGAAGTCACATGAGGGTTGAGGAGTACAGCAACATTATCCAAGTTGTTGCTCTAAACAGAAAATTCAACACAAACCCGTGTAAGAGTCACGGATTCCATAAGAGTACAATTACAGTGGACAATCGGCAACCTTCATTGCAGTCCCTTGAATAATATGCATTTGGAATTTTACCACAAATATATATAAGTACCTAAATGTATATAAAGTAAGAAACTTGTATTGATTTGCAAGATCAACCACACAGTACACCTAATCCAACATTTGAACTGACTAAACAAAGTGAATAATTGTAAAACAACACTAAAATCAACCTTACTTTTGTGCTTAAACGACATTTTACAGTAGAAAAACCAAAGTGGAAAATACTAAGATCTTCAATTATCTCCCGAAATTCAATTAAATTAAAGTAAAAACCAATTGGTTTTTGCTAAAAACATCCATAATACAAGCAGAAAAAAAAATACAACAAAAAGATTAAATTTTTCAGAAATGGGTATCGAAACCGAAAGAAAAAGATTGGATTTTTGGGAGAAAATCACAAAGGGAAGACACTTGACAACTTTCAAAGGACCCCCAAATAAAAGATGAAGAGCAAGTGGCAGAAGGGGAATACCGGCGACGTCTTGACCGTCGTAGATGCCACGGTGGACGGTGCCGAAGGTGCCACGAGCAATGACGGACTTGATGAGGAGCTTGGAGGGGTCGATCTCCCACTCCTGGCGGTGGCGTTTGGGGATGGAGAGGGTCATGGAGGAAGTGGAGGTGGCGGTGGTGGGGACGGTTGAATTGGAGGTGGAGGTGGTGGTGAGGTGGATGCTGTTGGAATTGGTTTCGGGGTCTCTCATGATCTTGCTCTTCTCCAAAGTCAAGACCCTGTTGAGATGCCTCTCCAGCTGCTCATCCAAGCTCTTCAGATCAATCTGATCTGCCCTCACAAACCCATCTGAGCTTTCCTTCATTTTTGCTGCTTCTGATTTCAGAAGCTTAGAAATTGAATGAGTTGGGTTCTGTTTCGTTTTGTCCCTTGACTTGGACACGATGAGTATTGACCACGACTGGGGAGAGAGAGAGAGAGAGGCTATGGAGGAGGAGGAGAGAGGAGAGAGGAGAGAAGGGAGAGGAGGGGGTAAGAAATGAAATGAATGAATCAGAGGAGGGGAATGTGACATGCGAGCACATGGTGTTGCCAACAATCAACGTGTGTCTCTGAGTCTTCTGACCCACTTTGGTCTCCTCCCCCGAGTCCCAACCTCCCCCTCTCTTTGAACTCCTCTCCCCCTTTTTATTCACACGTATTTATTTTTATTTTTGTTGGTAAGTTAATAAAAGTCATTATATTTAAAGCATCTTTGAGCTAAAAATTAAATATGTTGGTTCGAAAAATTTAGTTTTTAGTCCAGAAATAACTTTTCTGCTCCAACCGTTTTGGTCTAAAATTTTAGCCTGGGATTATTAAAGAATGAATTTAGGCTATTTTTTTTCTTAAATTAAATTAAAAAAAAATATGTAGACTATCGTAAATTAATTTTATGAACATTTTAATCTAAAAAAATTTAAATTCCTATAAATATTGAAAAATCACTAAATTTTATACAAAGCAAGCCTTCAATTTAAATTCTGATAAATATTGAAAAACCACCACCATCCCATCCGCCACCATTGCAGTTTTCTTGAAACTTTGCAATGATTTTATCCCACAAAACCTTCTTATTTTGATTTGTGCCAACTGCACCATCTTCACTAATAGAAACTCATGCCAAACATAGAGCAACATCTTCCTCACAGGTCCAATTACAACCTCTAATATGCTCTCTTGCCATGTTGAACAATTTGGAAATGGAAAGAAATGGTAGAAAGATAAATTGGAAGAATTAAGAGAAATTTGAGTTTTGTGTGGATGTTTGAACAAATACATAGGTATTTATAGAGTTTTTGGGTGAATTTTGAGTTAAATAATTTTAGCCGTTGGATTTAAATTTGGGCCGTTAGATCTTTTTTTTTACCGTTAGATTTGATTATATTCGATCTCAGCCGTTGGATTCAATGTATTTTAAAATAACATATTTAAAAAAAAATCAAATTTGAATCTGATCCAACGATTTGTGAAAACCAACCATCAAATTGAAAATGTAGTCGTTGGAGTGCATTGGGTGGCCGACAAACCGCTGACAGCAGGGCCCACCGAATTGCAGGCGCTCCGCGTGGGGCTCGTTGGAGCGTGAACGGGCAGAGACTGGCCCAATGGCCAGCAAGTCTAGTCGCACCGGGGGGGGGGGAATTCTGGGGGGTATTTCGCCCAGCTTTAACATTTGGCATTTAGCCCAATGTTTTAGCATGGGTTGGAGATGGTTTGGGGGGTAATTTAGCATTTAGCCCATCATTAGAGGTGGTTTCAAAAAATTATTATGCTACATATATCCCTTCCGTTTTTATTTTTCTATAATTTTTTCTAGTGGCAAAGTGATAATTAAACTACTCTAATCTCTGCAAAAAATTTGTAATTCAAGTTCAAGCTTGAATCTCTTTTCTTGATATTATTTGTTAAAAAAAAAAAAAAACTACTTTAATCTTTAAAAATTAAAAAAAGATTTCAAACTCAAATTTTAAAAAAAATAATTGTTTTGATATCACAACCTCAAATAACATATGTTACATCATAACAAAAAAAATAGGTACATGCTATTTCTCATAACTAAATTAGCTAATAAGTTTAAAAAGTAAAGACTAGGTACAAAGGATGTTGATTCTTTAACTTATCAAACTTGTAATTTTATGGCTTACTGGTCACACTATTACCAAAGTATGTAATAATTCCATAAAATTTTTAAATATACCAAAGCATGTAATTTTACCACGACTCTTATTATTTTATTAAAAATTCCTTGAACCCTTTTGTCCTCCCCTTTCTTCTTCGGGTAACTAAATTGGATTTCTTATTTTTCTTCTTGACAATGCTAGAAAATTGGATTAGAATTTAGAAGGCGGCTGAATCGCGAATATCTATTAAGATATCAATTAATTTGCATTGAAATTACTATAACAATGAAACAAAATATAAAATCTTAACTCAGGTGAAGCATCCAAAACATTAATTTCATGTTCCATTCATCCAAAGAAATATTTTTCAATCAAATACAGGCTGATTGAAAAATATTACTCTTGACGGAAGAGGTGAATAACTGTGGTTTGTCACCAATGGCGAATGTAGGATTTCAACTTCAGGTGGTCCTAATATAAAGGATTTAAAGATTTTGTAAACGGAAATAGCATGTAGCAGGTAAATTTTTTTCTCTATTTTTTAAATGAACACTTCGTTGAGCACTTTGTGTGTACATGGACATCCCTGTTTTGTCTTTTAAAGATTAAAAGCCATACCACAATATTTAGTGTCAATTTTCTTGAGAACTAGTAAATTGAAAAGGTTTTTTTTTTTTTTTTTAATTTTTTTAATTTTTTTTTAAGAGTACTTGTAAATTAAAAGGTTTTCTTTCTTATGAGATATTAATAATTATGAGGTGAAGGCTATTAATTTAAAAGGTTATAATTATGTTTAGCTTCAATATATTGCAGGGATATAAAAAAGGGCCAAACGGCATAATGGGATTAAAAAAAATATTTAGAGAGAAGATAGTGGGTCCAATTGGAAAAAAGAGATAAGAAGGAAAAAAAAAAAAAAAGGCAAAAACGGCACCGTTTCCATACAAGACAGAAGTACGGACACAATCGATCTTCTTCATTCACTTTACCTAGCCGGTTCTGCAACTACATATTCAAACTCCGATGAAGAAAATCCAGTTCAGTTGTGGATCTTATACCTAATTTTTATTTTTCACAATGATTTATCCCATCCAGTCCTTCATAGAGCTCCATCTAAAGTTTTGGGTGGTCCTCCATGGTACTTCACAATCGTTTCTCCCAATCTTCGAAGGTCCGGGACCACCCCGGTTCCTATATAGATTAATCCTTATTTGTCACCAATTGTCCTCTTTTTTATATTAAAAAAAAAAAAAAAAATCAACGTGTATAGAAATTCGTTGGTTAATTTGGAGTGTATTTAGATTTTTTTAAAATCTTATAAAGTTAAAATTATCGATTTTAAAAATAAAAAATAAAGAGTTGATTTTGACGTTTGAGTTCTGACTACTCAATACAGCACATCACCAAAAAAGAATTAGAGAAAAAAAAAAGACTATGAAAGTGAAAGTTTGAAGTTTCTACAATCTAATCTTTAAATTGGCGAACTCGAACCAACTTACTTGTTCGTCTTCAGTCTTCAGATTGATTTATCAAATTATGCATCGTTCACTTCTTGTTTGTTTGACTTTTTCACGTTGGAAGGTACAAATATCAGAATCCAAAAAACGTGTAAAAGTTGGATTGAAAGTGTACAATATGTTCATGAACCCTTTGTAGTTAGACCACCACCATCGCCAATTGATACGAATCCAAAAACTAAATGACAAACATGATTAAAGCAATGTCCTAAATAAGAAAGGTTCTTGCGTAGGATCGATTGCATGTGACAAGAGCGGATCAGGTGATACAAAAATACATGCGAGGTCTCGGTTTTGTTTTTGAATTAACAATTGTGGTTTATGAGGTTTCAACTAGAAACAACATATAACAAAGTAGAAATTGAATACCGTTAAACAAATGGTTAGATTATGTGTCTTAAGAGCTTTGTTAGATGTCATTATTTCATTGTTAAATAAAAAAAAGGGGCTTTTGGATTTAGGTCCAAAAACATAGGTTGTTTTTGGGACTGAGTCCAGTTATCCAATTACATATTTTGATATCAATTTTGCCCCTTCAGATAAAAAAATTTAAATTCTTTAATTTTTTTATCATTTATTCAGTTTTTAAATTTTGAATATTTAAATACTCAAACTAAAATATTATCTAGTAACTACCTACTATTTATGAAGAAAACAAAACCGATATAATTTAGTAATTACCTACCTATTGTATAGGAAGAAAAATGCTTTATACCTACAAAGTAGATATAATCTACCTGCAAAACAAAAATAAACTACCTATTGTATTGGAAGAAAAATGCTGGGAACCTATAGAAATATAAATATGATATAATATACCTTCATTAAATGAACGAATTTGGAGGGAATAATAACACAAAAATATCACCCATGTAAAGAAGAGACAAAAAAGAGGAGGATTGATAAAAGGAATTGTTTGGAAGAAGGAAAAAAGGAGGGATGAAACGGATTGGGGGTTGAGGTGATTATATGGCTATAGCTAATCCTACAATTAAGGGATTAGTTAAACGACAAATAATCCTATAATTAAGAAATTTTGTGTATTTACAACAATTCGTAAGCCTAAGGGGTAAATATGGTACAAACCACAAATAAACATACGTAGAATCTCAATTATTGGACCTATTTCAATGAAGTGGACTAATTCTACTAATGATTCACAAAATTGGATCTATATTAAGTTATCCCTAAAAAAAAATAGCAAGTGAATTTTGTCTCGTCTAAAGTGGGACTGGGCCTTATTGTAGACCTTACCCGACTTTAGGGTCGACATGGCAGCACGAGCAATGAATCGGATGTCAATGGATTGACACAGCCCAGCCCATTAGGTTGCAAAAAATTAATTAATATATATATATATATATATTTTTTTTTTTTAAGTTTATGATTGAACGACACTGGAATTTGAGTTAAGTCACAGGATAGATCGGTTATAATTAAATTTTAAATTCGCAGTTCGTAGAATTCAACCCGCTGTTTATATGGACCGCTAGATTGTAAAACTAGTGTCTCCAATGACTAATATTTAATCATGCATAATTATAATGTGATGATAGCATTACCCCACAAGTCATCAGCAACACTAATTTTGTCAAGAGATTTTTTAATGTGTCGGAATACGGACTGTTGCCCTACAATTTATTATATAAGTGGTTAGACGGTTGAAAAATAAATTCTTTTTTTACTTATATAATGACATGTGATATATATCATCATGTGTTTCGATCCCATTAAAAAATTTCTCAATTTTATGAGGCATATATAATAAATAGGCGGTGATTTTTTTTTATCTAAAAAGCAGAGATAGACCAAGCCTAGATTAAGGAGACGTCCAAAGAATGTCAACCGTGGCATGATATTGAATGGTGACGTCTCCAAGGAGGACTCTATACACACACACACACACACACATATAATATGTAGATATATTTGTTCTTGGCTTTGTGTTTTCAGTAATGATACAATGTGCA